CTATCACCAGAGATAGAGCATTCAGGCCAAGAAGCCTGTACAAACAAAACTTGTCACTTCTTGAATTTACTACCCCAATCCCAAACTCTGTTTAGTTAGATTCTTCACAAATTAAGCACCCAAAGCCTAAGTTTCCTTGTCCTGTCAATTTCTCACAAATTTATTGTTTTTACCTAAAAGATAAGAAAGCTGCCTGCTTTGGCCACTTCTTAGGTTCCATTTCTATGAGACTTCTGTGTGCACGAATTAAAATTTGTTTGTTTTTCTTCTGTTAATCTGTCTTGTGTCAATTTTATTATTAGTCCAGCCACAAGAACTCAAGATGGATAAAGGGAAATATCCCCCTTCCTGACACACAGTAGTTTTATTAATTTCATTGCCATGATGAGTAATAATTTTGAGCATCTCTTCCTCTGTTCATTGGCCATCTTCCTATCCTCCTTTGCAAAGTGTCTGCACAAGTCTTTCATACATTTTTCTACTGGGTTATCTTTTTCTTATCGATTTCCCTGCACTAGGTGAATGGACTCGATAATAATGCCCATGTGTGTATAACATTTTATGGTAAATCAAGTCATTTACACATACTTGACTTCATTTGACCCGTTATACCATCTGGAAAAATAATATTGATGTCTCTGCTCATTTTCTTAAATTCCTCTTTTTAGTTTTAAGCATGGCTTCCCAGGGGTTGCCCTGGGTCACCACAGTGGTCAGTGAGTGATTGAGCTAGTAAGGCTTCCACCTTCTGCTGATGGATATGTGTGAGGGGGTGGGGAACACATTCAAAGTTTAGGCCATTAGCAAATCCGCCCCAGCTTTTACTTTTTTTATGTGCAAGGCCTCATGTGTGGCCAAGGATCAGTAGACTATGAGGGCCTGCTAGGTTTCTCATAAGCATGCATGTAGTTTTTTGTCTAAGCAGTTTCCATATCACCAAGAATATGTGGGAGCTTATCAAAGACCATAATAGCTGTCATGTTCCCCAGATCTTCCTGTGAAATTTCTGGTTGGTCTGTCTGTTGCTTGCTCCAACTAGTATCACAGTCTCAAGCTAGCTGTGATGTCGGCATCCCCTGATTTATTGCCACCAAGATTGCTCTTGTTTTGACAATGTCCCAAGCATGGATTTTTCCAAATTTGCTGTCAATCAAGTCAACCCCCTCTGGCAGTGAGACTGCAGGTAGGTCCTTACAACCTACTCTGCCCTGATAGAACCACTGGTCCATGCAGCTGAGGGGGATATGGAAGCAGCTGCAGGCCAAAATGCCATAGACTCCCACCATTCTCACCAAAGTTTAGTGGATTTTCTTGAATAAATGCAACATTGTAAAGTTGACAGCATCCCTGAACTAATTTATAAACCCAATGCAATCTGAATGAAAATATTACTGGGATAATCAAATGATACTAGTATTGATCTGGGGAAGAAAAAAAAACAACCCAATATGATAGCTCTGAAAAAAAAAACTGTAAAAGGAGACCAAAGTGGTGAAATCAGCCCTACCAGATAATAAAATGTCAGGAATCCAGACCCTTGCTCTGCCATCAAAAGGGCAGAAAAACTAGAAAAAAATGTTTGCATCTGTATGATGAAAGGCTAGTTTCCTTTACATAAAAATAAGAAAAAGATAAACAGCAATAATTTAACAATAAGTGATTTTTACTTTTGTTTTTAAACATTGCTTCAATCATCAAAGTACAATGCTCTCTGGTAGAGAGTTATTCTGGGTTGGGGGCAGGGAAAGACACTGGATGGAGAGGTCATACTTTCCAGTTATTTTCTGGTCACAGAGTAGCAAAATAACCCCAAATTCCAAGTAGAATGAAAGGGGCACATTACTACAGATCCTTTAGAAGTTAAAATAATTATAAGGAAATTTTATGAACTACTTTATGTGTTTAAATTAGACAACTTAGATGAAGTGGACAAATTTGTAGAAAAACACAAATTACCAAAACTGATTCAAGAAGAAACACAACATCCGATTAGACCTAAGTCAGTAAAAATATTAAATTAGCAATAAAAAATAATCTTTCCACAGAGAAAGCCCAGGTGGCGTCCCTGGTGAATTCTATCAAACATTTGAGGAAGAAATAATAGCAAACCTTCACAAATCTTTCAGAAAATAAAGGAAGAGGGAATACTCTCCAACTCATTTTATATGGCCGATAATATCTTGATACCAGACCCAGACAACATCACAAGAGACCTAGATGGAAGATACACAACAGACCAAGATCAACACAGTGACAAAAAAAAAAATTAGCAAATGAAATGCAGCAACTTAATAAAAAAAAAAAACACCATAAACCATGACCAAGTGGTATTTATCCCAGATATTCAAGGTTACTTAATATCTGAAAATAAATTAATGTAATACACCATATTAATAGAACAAAAATCACATGTTCAACTCAACAGGCACAGAAAAAGCATTTGATAAGCTCCAACACCTCTTTATATACAGACTCTCAATAAAACAGGAAGAGAAGGGAACATCCTCACTGTGGTAAAGGGCATCTATGAGAAACCTACAGATAACATCATACTTAATGGTTAACGAATGAGCGTTTTCCCTTAAAACTGGGAACAAGTCAAGAATGTCTATGCTTTCTACTTCTATTCAATATCATACTTGATATTGTACTAACCAGTGCAGTTAAGGCAAGAAAAAGAAACAACAGGCATCCAAATTAGAAAGAAATAAACTGTCTTTATTTGCAAATGACATGATCCTGAATGTAGGAAATCCTACACAATCTCAAAAAAAAAAAAACAACCCTACAAGAACTGATAAGTGAGTTTAGCAAGGTCACAGGATACGAGTTCAATATACAAAAACCAGTCACATTGCTATACATTAACAATGAAAAATCCAAAAACGAATTTGAGAAAACAATTCTGTTTGTAATAGCATTGAAGAGAAATACTTAGGAATAAGTTGAACAAAAGAAGCACAAGTCCTGCACACTGAAAACCATAAAATATTGCTTAAAAATTTAAACATGACCTCAGTGGATGGGGAGATAGATCTTCTTCATGGGTTGGAAAACTCATTATTGTTAAGATGGCAGTTCTCCCCAAATTGATCTATAGATTCAATGCAATCTCTATCAAAATCTCAGTAGGCATCTTTGTAGAAATTGACAAGACGATCCTAACAATTACATGGAAATTTAAAGAAACTAGAATAGACAAAACAATTTTGGGCGGGGGAAAAAAAGAGAACAACATTGGATGCCTTACACTACCAATTTCAAGCCTTATTAAAGGCTACAGTGATCATCACTACAGTTTTGTGTTGGTGTAAGGACAGACAAATTAATGGAACAGAGTAGCATGTCTGGAAATGAACCCTTATATTAATGGTCAGTTGATTTTCAACAAAACTTCAATGATAGTCTTTTTTTTTTCTTTTTTTTGTGGCCAAGACTCCCACTCCCACTTTTGGATTAGAGATTAATGTTGGCCACAGGGAGGATCCAAAGGAGGAGCTAGATTCCCACAGCTGAGGTTAAGAGTGGATGAATGGGTAGAAAGGTTAAAGAAAAAACCTCTCAGAGATTCTAGCAAACAATTTGCTTAAATACATTTTAAACCTTCAGGGAGAATACCAACTGGCCCTGAAAACATTTCCCTAAAGAGTCTGCAACTCTAAAAACTTCTTTTGCAAATGTGGTGCTTGAAAGCAAAAGTATATAAATGTTTATCCCCTTTGACCCAAAAATCCCACTCCAGGGAACTGCATGACTCTAAGGAAATAATTCAAATGAATGTTGTATAGAAAAATTTGTAATAGTGACAAATTTGAAATAAACTCAAAGTCTAATGTTTAATAAATTATAGGACAAACAGTAGACTATTATGTAGCCATTTGTAAATGTGATAGGTGAAGAATCATGGCAGTGTATTTACAATGTAAAAATGAGTATCCATATAAAAAAAGCCTTGGAGGGAACTTTTCAAAGAAGTAGAAATAATTATAATGCTGAACTTTAGGAATATGAACATGTCAATTTCTTTCTACCTTTTTTTTTAACCAGTAAATGCACACATTTTACTAGTGCCCAAGATTCAGGGTGGGAGGGGACTATACAAGGGCATAAACACACACTTCTGTGTGTACATTCTCTACATCGAGAATTATTAGGGGTCATCTTGGAGGCTGGCTACCACACTACCATCACCCCTAACCTGGGATATTGTGATCACTTCTTAACTGAATCCTTGTTTCTTGTCTCCTTGAAGTCTATTCTCTACATGGTAGCCAGCAACCCTCTTACATCGTATCACGTTGCTCCTCTGCTCAAAACCCTGTAACAGCTTCCTATAGACGTGAAAGCCAGTCTTTACCCTGGTTCCAAGGCCTTACATCATCTGGCCCCCGCTACCTTTCCAATTAGATTTCTACCACTCTCTCCTCACTCTACTCCAGCACAAAGGCAATGCCTCATATGCACTGAGCAGACTTCTGCCCCAAGGCCCTTGCACTGGCTCCTTCTTCTGCCTGGGATGTTTTCCCCCCAGATAGCCACATGGCTGGTTCATTCAAATATCAGCTGCTCAAAGAGATCTATTCTGACTATCACATATAAAATAAAATAGCACTCCTGCCACTTCTTGCCTATAGCACTTAACACTTACCTGGTTTCCTCCACTAGGATGTAATCTCCATGAGAGCAAGGGGCTTGTTTTGTTCTTGCTGAAGTCTCAGGATCCAGAATGGTGCTGGCATGTGAAAGGCACTCAGTAAACATTTATTTAATGACTGAATAAGCAGGTTAATGAAAGTGGCTGATAGTCCCAGCTCTGCCTGCAAAAATGCCCTGCTAATATTGTGAATTATGTCTGTGAGAGAGAAGAGAAAAGGAGGCAAGAGGAAATGGGCATATCGGCAGATGGATGGAAGAAAGTGAAGCTATTAATAAATGAACAAGAAAGGGAGGCATGGAGATAAATAAGGAAAATAACTATGTGATAGGAAGTAGATCATTCAGATTTGTCAGTCTATGAAATCTCAAAAAGGAACAGTTTAATTTGTAAGAAGAAAATTTCGTGGCATATAATTATGCAAACTCAGTATAAAAGAACAGTTTATCCATGAGTTAAAAGGGATATACAAGCATGCTATAGTTTAAAATAGTAAAAGACTGAGAAAAACTAGGTTGATGTTTATGAAACTATAGTGGAAGTTTATTAGGGCATGCTCTCCGCATGGGATGAATATTTTGGGGCAGCACTTGATGGGTGGACAGGATCTCCTGGATCTTGTCCTGGAAATTCTTCTCTGCTGTCATCCCTGCTTCAAACTCTCGGTGTTCCTCCTCCTTCTCTGCTTCACGGGCCTGCTGTTGGGAGCACATTTGCATCTGAAGTTGCTTCCTGTACTCCTGGGCTAAACTGGAGCGTCTAAAGTATCAGAAATGTCAAAGTATAAAACTGTCAAAGTAAGTATTTGGATTTATGTAGGCCAGTACACTTAAAATGTAATTTTCAAAGTCAAATTAAAATTCCCATTATAATCAGGGTGAGTGGGAAAGAAATAGATGAAAAAATCAATAATGTGTTTATTACCCAATAATAATTAAGACAACCTTAGAACAAAGATTGATTTTAGTGAGGGAATGTCTCTTCTTCATTCAAAATATTGACTGCTATGTGGAGAGAACCCTTGGCCTCTCTCCATCCCCTCTCACTCCCCTCCAAGGAAGAAGGTAAAACGGAACAAGTTGTTCTGCCTATTTCTTGTCCGCTTTCTATATCAAAGGGGGCATATTCTCCCTGCAGGGGAGGCCTGCAGTGGTCTGGCACTGCTGGTGACTGGGTGGGTTACTGGTGACCGGGTGGGTAAGTTTGACTCATTCTGTTCAGTATTAACTAGATGATTTCCTCCATATATATGCCACAGTTAAAATATATAAGCCACATTTTTAAATTTATACTGATTTTTTTTACTGTGGTAAAAAACACATAATGTAAAATTTACCATCTTAACCATTGTTAAGTGTACAGTTCAGTAGTGTTAAGTATATTCACATCGTTGTGAAGCAGATCTCCAGAACTTTTTGTCTTGCAAATCTGAAACTCTATACCCATTAAACAGCAACTCTTTTTTGTCCCCTCCCACCAGCCCTTGGTAACCACCATTCTACTTGCTGTCTTTATGAATTTGACTATTCTGGGTGCCTCAAGTAAGTGAAATCATACAGCATCTGTCTTTTTGTGACTGGTTTATTTTACTTAGCATGTCCTCAAGGTTCATCCATGCTGTAGTATCTGACAGGACTTCCTTCTGTTTTAAAGCTGAATAATATTCCACTGTAGGTACATACCACACTTTGTTTATCCATTCACCTGTTAATGGACATTTGGGTTATATCCACCTTGGCTATTGTGAATAGTGGTGCTATGAACATAAGTATACAAACATCTCTTTAAGGTCCTGCTTTCATTTATTTTGGATTTAGACCCAGAAGTGGGATTACTGGATCATATGGTATTTCTATTTTTAATTTTCTGAGGAAACTTCATATTGTTTTCCATAGCAGTTTTACCATTTTACAATCTATAAGCCACATTATTAATATAAGACTTTATCAGAAATAGAGATTACAGCATGCATATGCCTCTGTGTGGCAGATTCCATTTTCCAAAGACTGCCACAGTGATATCGCCCCCTCCCATATGCTCTTCCGCAATGTGAACCTCTACTCCCCTATCAAGAGGTGGAGCTTATTTCTCCATCCCACTGAATCTAGATGGGCCCTGTGGCTGCTTTTTATGACCAATAGAATATGACAGAAGTGATGCTATAGCAGTCCTAGATGTAGTCCTTAACTGGCCTGGCAGCTTGCTCTTCCTGTCTCTTGGAATGTTTGCTGTTGGAACTATCCCTCTCAAAACCAGCCGCCACACTGTAAAAACCCCAAGCCACATGGAGAGGCCATGTGTAGGTGTTCCGGCTGGTAATACCAGATGAGATCCCCAAGCACAGTCAGCACACGCTACAAGCTATATGAATAGGTATCTTAGGTGAGCATTCCAGCTGAGCCTTCACATGAACATAGTCCCAGTCAGCATCTGACTTGAACCACCTGAGAGATCCCAAGCAAGAACCACCCAGCTGAGCCTTGTCAACCACAGAATCATGAGACATAATCATAACTCACTTTAAACCACAAATTTGGGGGTGTGTTGTTATACACCAGTAGGTAACTGTAATACCTTCTGCTCACACTACTTTTCTTATTTCTCAGCTTTGGTAAATTAAAAAAATTGAAATCTTATCAAGAATCTTTTCTAACCACACGCTATGAGACTAGATATCAATTACAGGAAAAAATCTGTAAAAGATACAAACACATGGAGGCCAAACAATACACTACTTAATAACCAAGAGATCACTGAAGAAATCAAAGAGGTAATCAAAAAATACCTAGAAACAAATGACAATGAAAACACGATGACCCAAAACCTATAGGATGCAGCAAAAGCAGTTCTAAGAAGGAATTTTATAGCAATACAATCCTACCTCAAGAAACAAGAAACATCTCGAATAAACAACGTAAACTTACACCTAAAACAATCAGAGAAAGAAGAAGAAAAAAACCCAAAGTTAGCAGAAGGAAAGAAATCATAAACGTCAGATCAGAAATAAATGAAAAAGAAATGAAGGAAACGATAGCAAAGATCAATAAAACTAAAAGCTGGTTCTTTGAGAAGATAAACAAAATTGATAAACCATTAGCCAGAATCATCAAGATAAAAAGGGAGAAGATTCAAATCAATAGAATTAGAAAGGAAAAAGGAGAAGTAACAACTGACACTGCAGAAATACAAAGGATCATGAGAGATTACTACAAGCAACTCTATGCCAATAAAATGGACAACCTGGAAGAAACGGACACATTCGTAGAAAAGCACAACCTTCTGAGACTGAACCAGGAAGAAACCGAAAATCTAAACAGACCAATCACAAGCACTGAAATTGAAACTGTGATTTAAAATCTTCCAACAAACAAAAGTCCAGGACCAGATGGCTTCACAGGCGAATTCTATCAAACATTTAAAGAAGAGCTAACACCTATCCTTCTCAAACTCTTCCAAATATAGCAGAGGGAGGAACACTCCCAAACTCATTCTAAGGGCCACCATCACCCTGATACCAAAACCAGGCAAAGATGTCACAAAGAAAGAAAACTACAGGCCAATATCACTGATGAACATAGATGCAAAAATCCTCAACAAAGTACTAGCAAACAGAATCCAACAGCACATTAAAAGGATCATACACCATGATCAAGTGGGGTTTATCCCAGGAATGCAAGGATTCTTCAATATATGCAAATCAATCAATGTGATATACCATATTAACAAATTGAAGGAGAAAATTCATATGATCCTCTCAATAGACGCAGAATAAGCTTTTGACAAAATCCAACATCCATTTATGATAAAAACCCTCCAGAAACTAGGCATAGAGGGAACTTACCTCAACATAATAAAGGTCACATATGACAAACCCACAGCCAACACGGTTCTCAATGGTGAAAAACTGAAAGCATTCCCTCCAAGATCAGGAACAAGACAAGTTTATCCACTCTCACCACTATTATTCAACATTGTTTCGGAAGTTTTAACCACAGCAATCAGAGAAGAAAAAGAAATAAGAAGAATCCAAATTGGAAAAGAAGAAGTAAAGCTGTCACTGTTTGCAGATGACATGATACTATATATAGAGAATCCTAAAGATTTCACCAGAAAACTACTAGAGCTAATCAATGAATTTGGTAAAGTAGCAGGATACAAAATTAATGCACAGAAATCTCTTGCATTCCTATACACTAGCGATGAAAACTCGGAAAGAGAAATTAAGGAAACACTCCCATTTACCACTGCAACAAAAGAATAAAATATCTAGGAATAAACCTACCTAAGGAGACAAAAGACCTGTATACAGAAAACTATAAGACACTGATGAAAGAAATTAAAGATGATACAAACAGGTGGAGAGATATACCATATTCTTGGATTGGAAGAATCAATATTGTGCAAATGACTCTACTACCCAAAGTAATCTACAGATTCAGTGCAATCCCTATCAAAGTACCACTGGCATTTTCACAGAACTAAAACAAGAAAATTCACAATTTGTACGGAAACACAAAAGACCCCAAATAGCCAAAGCAATCTTGTAAAGAAAAATGGAGCTGGAGGAATCAGGCTCCCTGACTTCAGACTATACTACAAAGCTACAGTAATCAAGACAGTATGGTACTGGCAAAAGAACAGAAATATAGATCAATGGAACAGGATGGAAAGCCCAGAGATAAACACATGCACATATGGTCACCTTATTTTTTTTTTTATTTTTTTTTTTTCTTGCGTTATGCGGGCCTCTCACTGTCGTGGCCTCTCCCATTTGCGGAGCACAGGCTCCGGACGCGCAGGCTCAGCGGCCATGGCTCACGGGCCCAGCCGCTCCGCGGCATGTGGGATCTTCCCGAAACGGGGCACGAACCCGCGTCTCCTGCATCGGCAGGCGGACTCTCAAGCACTGCGCCACCAGGGAAGCCCTGGTCACCTTATTTTTGATAAAAGAGGCAAGAATATACAATGGAGAAAAGACAGCCTCTTCAAGAAGTGGTGCTGGGAAATCTAGACAGCTACATGTAAAAGAATGAAATTAGAACACTCCCTAACACTATCCACAAAAATAAACTCAAAATGGATTAAAGACCTAAATATAAGGGCAGACACTGTAAAACTCTTAGAGGAAAACATAGGCAAAACACTATGACATAAATCACAGCAAGATCCTTTTTGACCCACCTCCTAGAGAAATGGAAATAAAAACAAAAATAAACAAATGGGACCTAATGAAACTTAAAAGCTTTTGCACAGCAAACAGAAACATAAACAAGACAAAAGGACAGCCCTCACAATGGGAGACAATATTTGCAAATGAAGCAACTGACAAAAGATTAACTTCTAAAATTTACAAGCAGCTCATGCAACTCAATATCAAAGAAACAAACAACTCAATCCAAAAATGGGCAGAAGACCTAAATAGACATTTCTCCAAAAAAGATATACAGATTGCCAACAAACACATGAAAGGATGCTCAATATCACTAATTATTAGAGGCATGCAAACCAAAACTAATGAGGTATCAATCTCTAAAATTTACAGGCAGCTCATGCAGCTCAATACCAAAAAAATAAACAACCCAATCCAAAAATGGGCAGAAGACCTAAATAGACATTTCTCCAAAGAAGATATACAGACTGCCAACAAACACATGAAAGAATGCTCAACATCATTAATCATTAGAGAAATGCAAATCAAATCTACAATGAGATATCATCTCACACCGGTCGGAATGGCCATCATCAAAAAATCTAGAAACAATAAATGCTGGAGAGGGTGTGGAGAAAAGGGAACACTCTTGCACTGCTGGTGGGAATGTGAATTGGTACAGCCACTATGGAGAACAGTATGGAGGTTCCTTAAAAAACTAAAAATAGAAGTAACATATGACCCAGCAATTCCATTACTGGGCATATACTCTGAGAAAACCATAATTCAAAAAGAGTCATGTACCACAATGTTCATTGCAGCTCTATTTACAATAGCCAGGACATGGAAGCAACCTCAGTGTCCATCGACAGATGAATGGATAAAGAAGATGTGGCACATATATACAATGGAATATTACTCAGCCATAAAAAGAAACGAAATTGAGTTATTTGTAGTGAGGTGGATGGACCTAGAGTCTGTCATACAGAGTGAAGTAAGTCAGAAAGAGAAAGACAAATACCATATGCTAACACATATATATGAAATTTAAGGAAAAAAATGTCATGAAGAACCTAGGGGTAACACAGGAATGCAGACACAGACCTACTAGAGAATGGACTTGAGGATATGGGGAGGGGGAAGGGTAAGCTGTGACAAAGTGAGAGAGAGGCATGGACACATATACACTTCCAAACGTAAGGTAGATAGCTAGTGGGAAGCAGCCGCATAGCACAGGGAGATCAACTAGGTGCTCTGTGACCACCTAGAGGGGTGGGATAGGGAGGGTGGGGGGGAGAAGCAAGAGGGAGGGGATGTGGGGATATATGTATACGTAGAGCTGACTCACTTTATGATATAGCAGAAAGTAATATACCATTGGAAAACAATTATACTCCAATAAAGATGTTAAAATAAGAAAAAAATAAAAGTTGGGCAGGGAAGACAGTTGTTATTCATTAAATTCCCTTCACATCTCCAACAACAGACTTTTCAAAAGTGAGAAGGAAGGACCTCCAGAGCAGAACAAGTAGAGAAAGTAAGTAGGGTAGGCCATATATTGTTGGTAGTGCCCCCAAAGTAACAATAGGCTCAGGTATATAAACCATACTCTTCCTATAAAGAAGAGAGCTTATTTCTATGCACCAAATATGGGTGAGCCGGGGAACAGGCCCTAGGGACAGGGAGGGTGACAAGCAATTAGAGGAGCCAGGTCCTCTTTCTCCACCACACTGGTCACCTGAACTGGGTGCCATAGTCATCAGTGGGAAGGGACTGCTATGATCTGTGAAAGGCTGCAAGGAGGCATCAGCCGATTTTCTCTACCTGAGCCTGATTATGGTGATCAGAGGGACCCTTGCCCGAGGAGGGAAGTGGTACATCTCAAAGCACCCAGAGCACTTCAGTTTTCCAGCTCAGCGAGGCTACAAAAAATCTTCCTGGGACATTTGCATGGAATCATAACCCCATAAGCCATTTCTGTTAATCTAACTAATTAGGTCACGCTCTATTTCCGGGTTTATTTCATGCGGGAAAAACTTATTTCATTACGATTTAGGGTTGGTGCCTACTTTATAAAAATTGTTTCTAATTTGTTTTATTTTTTTAAGATGTTTATCTAGTTTAATACCTAATGTGTATAATCAGAATTACACAATGTACAGAATTTAATTTTACCAAAATGGTTGTTGCTTATTTTTATATGAAATTTTATAAACTGAATTGAGCTTTTAGGACAAATTTAAGACTGATGTAAAATAACATCAATAATACATGAATTATGGCACATTGTCCTCTATGCTAAAAATCTCCTATTTTTGGTTAGTTAGTAATAATAAAGAAAACAAAATCATACCTTGTAAAATCCTCCCTCTCTTCACGGTTAAGCTCTTTAAGACCTTCATTTATACGTTCCTGTTCCATAGCACGTTCTTCCTGTTCTTTTGCTTTTCGTTGCACTAAGAAAGACAAAAGTAATTTTTGCTGAATGACTTTTTCAGAAAAGACTTGCTGACATCTTTCGGGGCATCGATGCCATATTGTCTTTAGAAAGGCAGAGCTTAGAATCACTGGGCTGAATCTTAGCTTAATAAGGTAGAAGTAGTCATCTCCATTAAGGAAAGAATGGGGTTTAGATTCATATGTGCTGCAATCTACAGAGATTTTCTCTTAATAATTAGTCATTGAAATCTATGATCAGCCTTTTTCATACCAGATTACCACTGTTTGAACACTTCTCACCTTTCTCTTCTCGAGGACAAACAGTTCTATTGCCATTTATATTAATAGGGGACTTTATTCATTACAAAATCAGTATTGGAAAAACAGTAGGTAAGTCTCTTATAAATTAAATAAGGAAAACTTAAACAACCCAGTAGGTAAAAAAATGACAAAGAGAACAGAGTTCACAAAAGAATAAATAAAACCAGGCAATATACATCTAAAATGTACATATCTTTGGTCCCAAATCCATTTACAGGAATTTATCTTAATCATATATGAGCCAAAAAACCTATGTACAGAGACAGTAACCTCCAATGCTAACACGGGAGGAAAAAGATTCGAAACAAGCTGAAGGTCCATTAGCTGTGTTTAGGTAAAATAAATTATGGTCCATTTTTATAATGGATTTCTAGGCAGCATTACAAATCTTACAATTGAAGAAAAATAACCTGGAAAAATGTTTATGATAAGTGGGAAATGCAGGCTGTAAAAAATATATATACATCAAGATCCTAATTTGTGAGGGGAAATGACATACATAATAAAAAATACTCGAAGGAAATACAGGAAGTTGTGAACAGTAGCTATTCCTGGGTGGTGCATTATGGTTGATTTTATTTCCTTGTTTATAAATGGTTCCAAATACTTAAATTTTCCATGTTTTCTCAACATATTCTAGAACATTTATCATGGGAGAATACAGAAATCATTTTATCATAGAAGCTTTCTTCTCATTTCTTAAAACTCCATCTAATACTGGCTTAACAATTTTCAACTGCCATTATAATTCCTGGAGTGGAGAATTAATCAATGGAACCAAGATGAGCTTTCTCTTGCAAAGACAGCTAGTGTGAAGTCCATAGTACCCTACTGGTAAATGTTTACATCTGGGTATAGAAATCCTCTCAACAAATATTTCCTTCTGTGACCAAGCACTGAAGCTGAGGGAATTCAGTGGTATGCTAAGAGATGTGAACAAGCAATGGTGAGAACCCCAGAAAGAAGATTTATTATGAATAGAGGAACACAGAGGGCCTCTCAAGGAATGAGATATTTGAGCTGGCCTTGAAGGATGTCCAGGATTTCTCAAGATCAAAAGTATCATAGGGAGAGAAAACTACCCAAGCAAAGGCATGCAGGTATGGATGTATGGAGACACCTGCAGTAAGATATTCAAGTATTCACTTAGGTAAGGTCCCTGCAAAGCAGGGATCTTGCCTTAATCCTTTTTACATTCTTCATAGTATTTCACACATAATACTTATTTAATAAATATTTTGGTTGCTACTTAAATTGAATTAAGGCCCAAATATAATATAATTATAATTCATTCCCTTACACTTTTCTTGAACTTGCAGTTTTCTTGTACACATGACCTCATTCAAAAGTTGTTTTCTTGCCTCCTTTTCAAGTCTCAGCTCCTTGTCCTTCTCAGCAAACTTCTTTTCCTTCTCTTTCTCTAACATTCTGTCCAGGTCTTTCTCCTGAGCTTTTTCTTCCTCACGCCGCTGTGCCAAGTACTGATGATATATCTTCTGTTCTCTTATCATATCTTCCTACATAACATAAAAATTAACTCATGTTGTTAAAACTTTTAGGTATGATAATGATATAGAGGATAAGTTTTAAAATAATCTTTTAGAGCTACAATTCCAATATTTCAGAATTACATACTGAAACATTTACAGATATTGTAAAATATTATTTCTAGGGTTTACTTAAAAATGTTTGGGGTGGGGCTTCCCTGGCGGCACAGTGATTAAGAATCTGCCTGCCAATGCAGGGAACATGGGTTCGATCCCTGGTCCGGGAAGATCCCACATGCTGCGGAGCAACTAAGCCCATGCGCCACAGATATGGAGCCTGTGCTCTAGAGCCCGCAAGCCACAACTACTGAGCTCACGTGCCACAACTACTGAAGCCCACGCGCCTAGAGCATGTGCTCCGCAACAAGGGAAGCCACTGCAATGAGAAACTTGCGCGCCACAATGAAGAGTAGCCCCCGCTTGCTGCAACTAGAGAAAGCCCACGTGCAGCAATGAAGACCCAATGCAGCCAAAAATAAATAAATTTATTTTAAAAAAATTCGGGTGACAGTGGAAAATGGGTGGGAGGGACAGATGAAACAAGAATAGCTATTGGTTGACGGTTGTTGAAGTTAGGAAATTGACGCATGGGGGTTCATTGTACTATTCTTTGCATCTGTTTGAAATGTTTTATAACACATTTTTGAACAGTTCAAATAGTAATTCAAATACTTTCTCAAATTGTTTCTCAAAGAAGTTCCCAAATAATTTTTAATTATACAACTTTATTTTCATTTATTTTAATTTAGGTAGATGAAATATCAACCTGATAAAATAAGTCACTACTATTATTACAGCACTGTCTCTGACTAGAAGATGAGTTAGTTGATAATTTACAACAGCAAATGTCAATCTTAGCTACACTTTGAAATCACCTGGGGAGCTTTAAAAAGTACTAAGTCTCACCCCTCAAGATTCCTATCTAATGGATAGCTTTTAAGTCCCCCAGGTGATTTGACTGTGCAGCTAAGGCTGTGAACGAGGCTTTATTACACAGGTAATTTCAGTTGCCTTCTGTCTTTCATGGTATTATATTTGTGCTGTTCCATCCAATCTCTGATCTCTTTTGAGAATATAACAGATTTGAGGTAGAACTAGCAAGATCTGAGGGTGTAGCTGCACCCTCAGAATGGCTTGTATACAAAGTTTCATACTTTGGGGAATAATTTAACAAAAGAAGTGCAAACCTTATACTCTGAAAACTAAGAAGCATTACTGAAAAAAATTAAGGAAGACCTAAATAAATGGAAAGATATCCGATGTTCATGGATCAGAAGACAATATTGTTAAAATGGCAATTATCCCCAAATTGGTCTATAAATTCAAAATAATCCCTATCAAAATCCCAGTTGGTTTCTTTGCAGAAATTGACAAGCTGATCCTAAATTCAAATGGAAATTCAAGGGAGCTGGAATAGCCACAACAATTTGAAAATGAAGAACAAAGCTGGAAAATTCACATTTCCTGATTTCAAACTTACTACAAATCTATAGTGATCAAGACATGATATTGGCCTAGGAATGGATATATAGATTAATGGAATAGAACTGAGAGTCCAAAATAAACCCTCACATTTACTGTCAATTTATTTTTGACATAGTGCCAAGACAATTCAATAGAGGAAAAATAGTTTCTTCAACAAATGGTGCTGGGACAACTGGATATCCACATGCAAAAGAATGAAGTTAGGCCTCTACCTCATACCATATACAAAAGTTAACTCAAAATGGATCAAAGGCAGGTACTTCTCTGGCAGCCCAGTGGTTAAGACTTCACCTTCCCATGCAGGGGGTGTGGGTTCAGTCCCTGGTCAGGGAGCTAAGATCCCACATGCCTTGCAGCCAAAAAACCAAAACATAAAACAGAAATAATATTGTAACAAATTCAATAAAGACTTTAAAAATTCTCCACATCAAAAAAATCTTTAAAAAAAAATGGATCAAAGGCCTAAATGTCAGAGCTAAAACTATAAAACTTTAAGAAGAAAACAGGACATCTTCATGACCTTGGGGTAATAAGAGTGTTTTAGATATGACACCAAAAAGCACAAGACAGAACAACAGAAAATATAGAGGAATTTTACTTCATCAAAATTTAAAACTCTTGTAGTTCAAGGGACACCATCAAGAGTGAAAAGGCAACCCACAGAATGAGAAAAATATTTACAGATCACTTATGTGATAAGGGATTTGTGTCTAGAACATAAAAAGAGCTCCTACAACTCAATAATAAAAAGACAACCCAGTTAAAAACTGGGCAAATAACTTGAACATACTTCTTAAGACTTCAGTAGCCTTTAGATAGATTACTCCAAGGAAGATATATAAATGGCCAATATGCACAGAAAAAGAGGCTCAACGTTATTAGTCATTAGGGAAATGCAAATGAAAACCACAGTGACATACTACTTTAGACAAACTAGGATGGTTAAAATTAAAAAGACAGACAATAACAAATGTTAACAAGCATGTGGAAAAATCAGAACCCTCCTAAGTATGTGAGAATGTAAAACAGTGAAGCCTCTTTGAAAAACAATTTGGTGATCACTCACAAGCTTAAACATGGAGTCAGTAATTCTACTCCTAGGTATATGCCCAAGAGAAACAAAAATATATGTCCAAACAAAAATTCACATATGAATGTTCACATTAGCATTATTCATAATAGCAAAAAAGTGGAAACAACTCAAATGTCCATCAACTGACAAATGTATGAACAAAATGTGGTATATCCATACACTGACATATTATTCAGCCGTATAAAGGCATAAACTACTCATACAGGTTACAACATGGATAAGCCTTGAAAACATTATGCTGAGTGAAAGAAGCCACTCAGAAGGTCCCATAATATATGATTTCATTCCTATGAAAGTCCAGAATAGGGAATCAATAGAGACAGAAAGTCTATTAGTAGTTGCTTAGGATTGGGGGTGGAGGGAGGGGAAGAGGGGAAGTGGGATAATAAAAATGTTCTAAAATCAACTGCGGTGATGGTTGCACTAAAATCCATTGAAATGTACACTCTAAATGGGTGAATTTTATGTTTTATGAATGATACCTTAATGAAGCTGTTAAGAAATTAATAAAAAGATACAATTGAGAAGAAAAAGCTCAATAGCAAAAATAGTAAGAAAGAAAGACAGAGAAAGAAAGAAAGGGAAAAATCAAATAAGCAATCCAATTAGAAAAATGGGCAAAAGATATCAGAAGACATTTGGTTGAAGAGGATATACAGATGGCGAATAAGCACATTAAAAGTTGGTCAACATCATTAGCTATTATGGAAATGCAAATTGAAAACACAATGAGATTGGCTGGAGACTCAGTGTGGACTGCTCTGAGTTAAAAACTCTAAGCGGACCCAATCATCCAGGGGGACCCCACACTTTTGTGAGTTTTACCTCCTGTAAACTCACAAAACCTTACCTCAGGTTCTACAGTAAATATCAGAGAAAAATCCCCTCATGCTTATGGCAAGGGGAGGGGAAAATGAACCATTCTGAAATACACCAGAGCATTCTATTCTTCTTAATAAGGTTTGGCCTCAGGAGAAAGTATTTAACCAGAGCCTAACCTGCTGGGATTTTATCAGAGCCTCACTGACCTGGGGGAAGGGAAATACCCAACTCTGGGCAACCTCTAGCCTTCCATGTGGGAAAAGGGAAACACCATAATCGAGGCTTCCAATGACCAGGGAGAGTCCAAACCCAAAGGCACTAGCCCTAAAGGTATAGAAAGAGAATCCCTTCCCCTGTTTACTTGGATTTTTAACGCTTGGCACTGAGATCACCCTTCTACTGCGGTTATTACCACAAAGGTTCAAAGCCAATGGAAAACACTAGATGAGGCCTGACTCCCTCTCTGTAAGATTGATATGGGTCAATGGATCTATCACTTCTTTGAACAGAGCAACCCAGATGACCTAGATTTCACCTCCAATCCTGAAGAGGCCCTAATTGACCCCAAATCCAGATAATTCTTCTTACAGGGAGTCCCCCCGCAAATTACAAGGCCATGTTCCTCCGCTTTGTGAGGGGTTCAACCTGGCAGAGGCTCGGCACGACCACTGAGGCCTCACTGTTAAAATGGAAATCGCACCTTCAGAAAAGGGCTAAATCTGATATCAAGCGTCTTTCCAAATTACAGGAAAGTGGTTTCCCCATGCCCAGCCCCTTGCTCACTGACATTGAGGTGCAACTAGTGGCACCCTCATGCCAGCCCATCTAGTAGTTTGGGGAGGCCCTTGCAAACAAAATCTGACATGGAAAGGGAGTTGGTATTCTTCATCATTGGCAGCACCACCATTGTACACATAGGCCATGGCACATTCCTAGTATAGGACAGCTCTCTTGACTCGGTCCAACTGGCAGAGTTAGAGGCAGTGTACCTTGACCTATGACAGATCATAAAAATGAGATTTCTAAGGGCACATATTTTTCCTTCACTCCTGGGAGGTAGCCAATGGATTCACAGTCTAGTCTGGACAATGGCAAAAGGATAATTTCATGATTCAGGGAAAGCCCATCTGGGGTGCCTCCATTTGGAAAGAAATAGCCAACTCACACATGCCGATTAGGGTCACTCGTTTCTGCACACACACACACAGCAAACACCAGAAGCATATAGTAACATTACAGACTCATCTAAATTACATGTATGAGCCCCCTCCCGGAGTACCAAAAGCGACCCTGGACACAACTATTCCTCAGTGCCATACCCACTAGCAGAGTGGGCCCATATTATATCAGGCCATAGGGGAGTGACAGCACTTACTGACTGGGCATACAGGTGTATGCCCTTTACTCCAGCTCTAGCCAAAGTGGTGGTAGATAATTGCTTCCTTTGCTCCCGAACAAAACTCTGGAAAGATGCTTGGTGGGGATACATGCCCCAAGCGACAGACTCTATTTCAGATGGCATATGGAGTTTATCAGGCTGCTGTTGCCCTCCACGAGATCTAATAGGTAT